TATAAGGTCAGCTTTGGTTACATAGAACGAGAACGTTCTAACCTTTTTATTTTCATCTTTTATAGGCTCATCCTTGCCCGACGGTCTAGGCTTAGCCATTATAGGACAAGTATACGTGTCTCCTTTAATTAATTCGGCCAAACACATTTCAGCTTGATCGTAATATTCGTCATTAATGGTATAAACATCAAAATTTGGGTCTCTATAATATGTCTCCTTGCTAGAATTTTTCATTTGCTCTTCTTCTCTTATTAATCGTTCATACCTAATCACGTTTGCGCTCAATTGAAAAAGATCAGGAAATTCCTTGTCATGGAATTTCTTTTTCAATTCAAAGTTTAGACAATTTTGAGCGATTTTGACAAATTCCTTTTCGGGCAAAAGGTACAAAACATTTACTTCTTGCTGTCTTGAACATTTGAAGGAAACCTTCTACCCATTCATTTGACATTTGACGCAGACTCGCCAAATCGGCCAAAGTAATTTTAGACTCAGTCTTATAAAACTGAGCATGAAACAATTGCTCTAATTGTTGCCATGTTTGAATAGAGTTCGCTGGCAAATTGATGAACCAAGAGAAAGATACTCCTATTAATGAACTAGGGAACAACCTCATTTTATGATAGTCTGTTACTTCACCACTTTGCAGTGTGAATCGCCCTATGTGTTCTAAGTAGACACCTCTCCTAAATCGATAAATAGTGAGAATTCTGTCACTTTATATCCTCTAGACCATGGATATGCTTGGTCTACCCAATCAGGATATGACTTTGTGTAAATCAGCCTAATGACAGGACGTACTCCAAAAGCTATCTGATCCTGTACTATTTCCATAATTTGATTCCTCAACACAGGTTGGTTGATCGGTTGATTTGCTTGAGGCCTGATATTTGGTCATTGGTTGGCAACAAGGTTGCCTTAATTTGGGCCATTGTTACCATTACCCTGAATATTTATTCCATCATTAACACGTGGGGCATTCTGTCCATTATTTAGGACATTGTCTCTTACATTTAGCTTACCCCCAAGTTAGCTGTACCATCACCACTATTCTGATTTTGCATTACACCATTCCCCTGGTTTGAAGTAGAGGGACCAAAAGGTGGTTCTACCTCTTGATTTGGACTTCGGACTAGGGATTATGTCCCACAATTATCCTAGCTTGAAAGTGATTTGCAAGAGGCACAACTGGCTGACAAATTTGGCCTAATAACTTATTCATTATTTCATTCAAAATATTTAGTTGTTTGGCCATGTTGCCATAATGCGCATTCCCATTCTAGGTAAATCTTTCCATATTATGAATATTTCGTAGATTTACCTGTTCAATGACATCCTGTGTGAGTTCTCCAAGTAATGCACGCATGGTTCGAGGGCTCAACTTTGTCATTGGTTTGTAACGACTGTGACTATTCTAACTCTGTCCCTCTGTTCATGGAGAGCTATGCTGCTCCTCATATCGATCGATCACAGACTGGACTCCTCCCTGACTTGCTGCTTCCTTATCAGATTTATGAGGCATATTATTTCACCTTTGTATCTTCAACACCAAACATCAAAGTCCCACTGGGTATGCCAAATTGTTTCGCGTGGGTAGTCACTAATAATTAAAAAGGGATCAGACGATTGTGTAAGGAACAAACCTCTTGAGATAAAATCCCAAAAAGGGGTGTTTTATTGACGATGATTTACAATTGGAACTAAATAGAATGCCTCCAAGGGGCGCTAACTTGTCGTGGAACTGCCGTCTCTAACTGTTGCCACTACTCTTTGTCGTTCAACCGCCTTCAACTGGATTCCTTGAATCGTGGAATGTAATAAGGTTACTCAATAACTGCTTCAATAATTGCATTTCTGGATAACCATAACATTTTATGTTTGCTAAGATCCTAGGCGATTCGTAGGTATGAGCGAGAACAGGGTCATTACTCTGGGCGACTGTAAGGCACTCCATTCGCTCTGATCTTGGGTGTCTTGTAAGTTTGGGCGATGATGTTATTGTGTTCGTGGGCTTCCACTGCATTAATTAATAACCATGCCTGGGCCTTTATCCTGAATTGCCCAATTTGGCTTCATTATTTGGACTATTTGATTTGAGAATTCCTCAATTGGGATTCATTCCTTGGGCTATTCGATTTGGGATGCACTTTTAGTGTGTCAACAATAACATGACTATAATTTAATTGATTTAGAAAATACTAAATATATTTGTCCATTATATTATTCCGTATTTACTAGTTCAATTTGTCAAATGCAATCCTAATTTTTACTTATATTCACACGGTATTCCTTTTTCTTTTTCTTTTTGGTCCCAAACGTGGTAAAACTAAAATCAGAATCTATCTTCAACATTTTTGGACTTGATTGAATAAAATCGTTCTACCCCCTACAACCAATTTGAGGCCTTTTCGAGCTAATTGTCTCTGGTTGGATAATAATTTATGATTACATTTTAAATGTATATTCATAATTACTACTCATTATTATTGACACATTTTGTGAGATTCGATATTATTATTATTATTATTTATTATTATTTATTTTTTTAACTATTCCTCTTTATAAGCTTTTTGTAAATTTGCCAAACAAAGGCACCAAAGAGTGCAGAGCTTTCATCCTAATCTAGGGATAATTTGACAAATCACAAATGGTCATTGAGATTTATATGACATTTCAAATTTATCGTTAAAGTGTTTTTTAATCTATTTAGTCATTAGAGTTGAAAAACGTCGTAAAATTGTCAACTCCAATAATAACGTCAATTCCAATTTCGACTGTCATGTTAAAAATATGCATTGAATAATGATTGTTATATCCATGCTAAGAAATTACACATCTTAAAAATAAGAGTGCCCTAACATTTTGTTCATAAACTATAAAATGTTCCCTTTAATCATAACCTTATTTTTCATCTTGATAGATACTATATATGTCAAGATAGAGCTAAAACGGGAGGCTAGGTGGAAGAAAACCATAATTTTCGATGATTGTTAGTTAGTGTGAAAGTGAATACTTACTATGCCTAATATGACGTTAATCATGCTAATAGAGTGATAATTATGTAATATAAGTTAACGTTAATGACTATTGAGTTACAAAATAACTGAAGGAATAATTGCAGTAGAGACCTCAAAGTTTTAAAACATTAGCAGACTTTCTCCAAATCTTTAATTTATTGCAACCGTCATTCCAAACCTTTCGAAACATTGCGACAGAAGCCCTTTTGGACGATTTTCATCCAAATTTTGTTAGTTGACTAAGGAATTTAACTTTGGTCATATTTTTAATATTTTTTAAAGGTCAAAATAGTAATTTTCCATTTACTACATTAAAATAACCTAAAAATTAAATTTAATCCCCCTCTTCTCATACTCACTTCCAGTACCTAAATCAAACACACCTAATTTCATTTCAATTCTAATTGGAAACACTCAATTCTTCCCAGCAGCTGACGGCAACGGTGATGGAGGAGCAATTATAGATCCATCTTAGAGGGCCGAAGGCAGTGGGAATAATAACGGTGCGTTGGGGTGAAGAAACCGTCAGCTAAGGACCACCATAGCAAGGTTGACACAAAGATCGTCGTATTTGCATGCCTATTATCTGCGCCCCTAGGCATGGAGTGAATTCGAGAGCTGCGTTTGGTCTTCAACTTCAACTTTCCCTAGCCCACCGCCACCCACTGCCGCTCTAAAATCAATCCATCTACCTATGTTTATTTTGTGTATTTGCTTTCCAATCACAATCCATTTAGCATTTTTATCTTTTTGTTTGGCCGAATAGCTTTATTTGTGTATTAGTGTTAAATTTTTAAATTTGATTTGGGATGATTTTTTGGTTCTTTACGTGGAATTTTTGTTTATTTACTTTTTCATATTGGGGATAATATGTGGGTTTTTAATGAAGAGAAAGAGTATGTTATATCATGAGAAATGAAGTTTTGTGTGGGTGACGTTGGCTCGGGGGAAGTTGAAGATCTATTGTTTTTATTTTTTTTTGCTTTTTTTAATTTAATTTTTATATATTTTTTAATGAAGTAAATGGGAAGTTTCTATTTTGTCTTTTCAAAAATATTAAAAATATGGTCAAAGTCAAATTTTTTAGTCAACTAACAGACATTTTGATGAAAACCGTCTAAAAGAGTTTTTGTCGCAACGTTTCTAAAGGTTTTGGGTGACAGTTACAACAAATTAAAAGTTTGAGAAAAGTTTGCTAATATTTTAAATGTTTAGGGCCTCTGCTTCAATTATCTCATAATTTAATAACCAATTTGAAAATTTGCTTAAAATTTCAGTAATCATTAATGAAAATTAATCTGCTAACTGAACCAGTAAGTGTCCAAAAGGCACCCTAAATTAACTTGAAGATGAGTGACCTGTCAAGATGTTTCTGTAAGTTGAGTGACTTGATCGAATTAAATAGAACTAGAGGAACACAATAAAATTTTACTGTAACTTGAGGGACCAATTGTGTATTATATCCGTATCTTCATTTTTTATTTGAAAACGTAAATATTTCCATTATTCATGAAGGCAATTTGAGATATTATAAGGATAATTAGCACAAAATGTCCATACATTTCAAGATTTTTGTGAAAAATGTCTCTACCTTTCGTTTTTTAACACATTTCATTCCTGTCTTTTCCTTTTCTTGTAGAAAATATTATTTTCATCTTTTTTTCCAATAAAAAGTTATAAAATGACTAATATACCATTTTTTTTAAATAAAAAAATAAAGAACTAATTGCAATCATAGTTTCAATTTTTTAAAAAGTTCAAAAGACGAGATGGAGGTGGAGAATTTATTTATTTTTTATTTGGAATTACGATTGCATTTAGTTCCTTATTTTTTTATTTAAATAGAAGGGTATATAGTCATTTTATAGCTTTTTATTAAGAAAAATAATAAAAATGATGTTTTGCACAAAAAAAAGGTAAAAATAGGGATCAAATACGCTAAAAAACGAAAAGTAAGGACATTGTTCACAAAAATCATGAAAAGTGGGGCGTATTGGGCTAATTACCCGTATCCCAAAACGTGCGGAATATCTTCGATCAGAATTTTACCGGAAAATTCTAAATCTGATCCCAAAACTGCTCCCTTCTCTCTCGCCGCAGGCAGTAGCGACGACTCCAGTGGTACGTCTCCATCTGTTTTTCCTTGATCATGTTCCTACAATTCACATTCAATCTCCAATTTTATCCTTTTTTTTTTTATTTTGATTGCTTGATTGGATGTGGAAGATCTTGACTTGATCTTGTTCAAGCCTTTAGATTTAGCTGCCAATTCAGGTTTAAAGGTTTTTAATTTCTGTACTAGCTTTATCGGCAGTAATGGAATTATTGGAATATTTAATCCATGTATTCATGAATTGGGAAAACAATGTGAATTGCACAAAATGGGTCATTCAACCGTGGGCACTGAAGAATTCTGCTTATCTAAGAAAATTTGGTTTGATGATTGATGAGTATTGTAGTCAAGATCTTAAATGATACTGGGTAGCTGTGTCCTTGGAGTTGATATCTGTTTTAGCTTAATGTTTTTAAAGCTCAATTTATATGGTACGTAGAGGAGGAGAAGACATTTTAATCATGTTGCCTCCCATTAAAATAAATTAATTGCGAGAGTATTACTCATCTCCTTCATGATTTTCTGAAGAAGTCTTATGTTACCCCCATGTTTCTTTCTTCGGTAGACATTCATATCTTTACTCATCATATTTTGGTAAAATTATAAAAGTCTATTCACTGATCTTCAATTATTGATTTGGCCAGGCAGAAGGGCCTTCTTTACATGTTAGCTGTTTGCGTCCTTCGTGCTTGAGTTTTAGGGTGTTTTAAAAGCAAGATCTTATGAGGTGCCTTAATGGGCTGAACGAAGGCAAACCTTCAGGTGGTGCCTTAGCTTGTATTGTGAATTCAGAAATTAGTGCAGTTTTGGCTGTTATGAGGAGAAATGTAAGGTGGGGAGTTCAGTATGCCACTGATGATGAGCAGATGGAGCATTCTCTCATAAAATCCTTCAAGGAACTGCGGAAAAAGATTTTCTTGTGGCAACATCAATGGCATAGTGTTGATCCTGTTGTGTATCTCCGGCCCTTCCTGGACGTGATTAAATCTGATGAAACTGGTGCACCGATCACGGGAGTTGCTCTATCATCTGTTTACAAAATCTTGAATCTAGAGATACTTGATTTAGAAACTGTGAATGTTGATAACACTTTGCATCTAATAGTTGATGCTGTGACAAACTGCCGTTTTGAGGTGACGGACCCTGCTTCTGAAGAAGTTGTACTGATGAAAATTCTTCAAGTTCTTTTGGCTTGCATGAAAAATAGAGCGTCCATTAATCTGAATAACCATCATGTCTGCAGCATAATAAATACTTGTTTTCGAATTGTTCATCAAGCAAGCTCTAAAAGTGAACTCCTGCAAAGGATATCACGCCACACAATGCATGAACTGATCAGGTGTATTTTTTCACATCTTCCCGACATTGACAATAAATGGCAAATGTTGGCTCAAGGAAGCAGGTCTTCTCCTAACACGGAGGTAACAAAAAGAATTTTTCACATTGTATGTGACATTTTTACCCTATCTTTAGAACTAAACCGTGCTTCAGTCATGATGATAGATCTTATGCAGCGCTTAAAAAGCTGTTGCAATTTATTGTGAAATTCGGATAACTCTTTCAGATTAGCCCAAAAGGCATCCAGGACACCGTAAATCTTACTGTAGAAATTTTATATCATTTTCGGATGTATTTCGTGTGAATGATTTTGGAATCACTACCATTCTAAGATAGATATAAAAGTCACGATCATCAAACTTTTGCTATTCAAGGTTAGATTGACCGCTGTAATTATTACAAAGATCCAGTTTATCAGTTGTCTGAGGCCAACTCTGTTGTTGATGAAAGCTTCATGCATGGTTTGAGTGGCGACCATTGAAGGCTAGATTCGGTCATTATTTAGCAGAATATTAGTAGTTTGAGGGTGTTCCCATTTTTATTTTTTTTTTGGATATTTTATACATGGCTGGGGGGTTGAAGGAGTAGATGCATTTCGGGTTTTTAAAAATTGAGTCACTGTCCATTTTGTATTTCTTTATTGGTTTGTCAAGCTTGTACTTTCATTGCAGGTTGGTGTGCTAGCAGAAAATCAAAATTTTGAGGATAAACAATATGATAATGGTCACATCAGTTCAGAATCTGACAATAATAAACTTGAAGGCGTCACAGATGTTCTGGCAGACATGTTTGAAGTTAAGATGGGTGATAAAATAAATGAGATTGAACAAGGGAAAGCTACCGCTTCTTCTATGATGGATCCGTATGGGGTCCCATGCATGGTGGAAATATTAAATTTCCTGTGCTCTCTTCTTAATGTGATGGAGAACATAGAAACTGGTCCCAGATCCAATCCTATAGCATATGATGAAGATGTTCCTCTATTTGCATTGGGTTTAATCAATTCAGCAATAGAATTAGGTGGGGCTTCTTTTAAAAATCACCCTAAATTATTGACTCTGATACAGGATGAATTGTTTTACAACCTGATGCAGTTCGGTTTGTCAATGAGTCCACTTATTCTTTCAACGGTGTGTAGCATTGTCCTCAATCTGTATCATTATCTTCGTACTAAGTTAAAACTTCAGCTTGAAGCTTTTATCTCCTGTGTATTATTGAGGATCTTGCAAAGCAAGTATGGAGCGACTTACCAACAGCAGGAGGTTGCTATGGAAGCTCTTGTTGACTTCTGCAGGCAGCCTACATTTGTGGCCGAGATGTTTGCCAATTATGATAGTGACATATCCTGCAGCAATGTATTTGAAGGTCTTGCCAACTTGTTAACAAAAAGTGCCTTTCCAGTGAACAGCCCGTTGTCTGCTATGAATACTCTTTCTTTGGATGCTCTGGTTGCTTTGGTACAGGGCATGGCTGACAGAATAGGTCATGATTCTACACCTTTCGAAGAGAGTGAACCCGGTCTTCAGGAATATTATCCATTTTGGACTTTGCAATATGAAAATTATGGTGAAACTCATCGGTGGGTTCCATTTATCCATAGGATGAAGCACATAAAGAGGAAGTTGGTGATTGGAGTTGATCACTTCAATCGAGAGCCCAATGAGGGTCTAGAATTTCTTCAAGGATTACATTTGTTGCCTGATCAACTTGATCCTGAAAGTGTAGCACACTTCTTTAGATATACAGCTGGATTAGATAAAGATGTTGTAGGCGATTTTCTAGGTAGTCACGATGAATTTTGTATTAAAGTGCTTCATGAATTTGCTAGGACATTCAATTTTCAGGGCTTGAATTTGGACACTGCTTTGCGCATTTTCTTGGAAACTTTCAAATTGCCTGGGGAGTCTCAGAAGATTATGAGAGTTCTCGAGGCATTTGCAGAGAGCTACTATTTTCAATCTCCAAACATTTTTGCCAACGTAGATGCTGCTCTTGTTATGTCGTATGCTTTGATAATGCTTAACACAGATCTGCATAATGCACAGGTAAAAAAGAAGATGAGAGAAGAAGATTTTATTCACATCAATCGGAGTATAAATGGAGGAAATGATCTACCTCGAGAGTTTTTGTCTGAGCTTTATCACTCTATCCGTGACAATGAGATTCGTATTGTTCCAGAACGAGCTGCTGGTGTTGCTGTCGTGACACGAGGCCATTGGATTGGTCTAGTGCACAGAGCAAGGGAAATGGCACCCTTTTTCGTAAGTGACTGTGAATGTTACTTTGACTATTATATGTTTGCTATTCTGTCTGGTCCTTCAATTGCGGCTATTTCTGTGGTATTTGATAACGCGGAGCAGGAAGATGTTTTGCAGTTATGCATTGATGGATTTTTGGCCATTGCCAAACTTTCAGCCTCGTATAATTTTGGTGAAATGTTGAATGACTTGGTTGTCTCTCTTTGCAAATTTACAACCCTCATGCATCTATCTTTTGTTGAAGAATCTATTCTTGATTTTGGAGATAATACCAAAGCTAAGATGGCGACCGAGACAGTTTTTACCATTGCAAACTGTTATGGCGATCACATTCACTCTGGTTGGAGAAACATAGTGGAGTGCATCTTGAGTTTGCAGAAGATAGGCCTTCTTCCTGCTCATCTTGCTAGCGATGCTGCTGATAACTTGGACTCTTCTCCTGTTCTTGATCAAGCAACACCAGCAGAAGCTTCCTCCCCAGCATCTCAGGTGCCAGCAACAGTTCCTGCTAGGAAATCATCTGGCCTTATGGGCCGGTTTAGCCTACTGTTATCTCTCGATAAGGAAGAACCTGCACCCCAACCCACAGAAGAACAGCTTGCTGCTCATCGACGTACTCTCAAGACGATACAAAATTGCAACATTGATAGCATCTTTGCTGAAAGTATGTTTCTGCAAGCAGAATCTCTATCACAGCTTGTTCATGCTCTTGTGTTGGCTGGAGGGCGTTCTAGCAAGGGAAATAATTATCTGGAAGATGAGGACACTTCAGTTTTTTGTCTAGAACTACTGATTGCAATTACTCTTAACAATCGAGACAGAGTCATGCTTTTGTGGCAGACTATTTACGAACACATAGCCAATGTTGTTCAATCAACTGTAATGCCCTGTGCCCTTGTTGAGAAGGCTGTCTTTGGGCTCCTTCGAATATGTCAGCGATTGCTTCCTTACAAGGAAAATCTGACTGATGAGCTTCTCAAATCTCTGCAGCTGGTATTGAAACTGGATGCTCGGGTTGCAGATGCTTATTGTGAACAAATCACGCAGGAAGTGATGCATCTTGTGAAAGCAAATGCAATGCAGATAAGATCTCATATGGGTTGGCGCACAATTATATCCTTACTTTCAATCACAGCTCGACATCCAGAAGCATCAGAAGTTGGTTTTGAGACATTATGTTTTATCATGTCTGATGGGTCATATCTCTTGCCTACAAATTATGTTCTTTGCTTGAACGCGGCCAGGCAGTTTGCTGAGTCTCGAGTTGGTCATGTTGATCGATCACTGCAATCGTTAGATCTGATGGCTGGTTCAATTGCTTGTTTGGTGAGATGGTTTCAAAAAACCGAGGAAGCTGTGGATGAGGAGGAGGCAGCTATGAAGATGTCCCGGGATATACTTGAAATGTGGATGAGGCTTATACAGGGCATCAAGAAGGTGTGTTTAGATTCGAGAGAAGAGGTCAGGAATCATGCCATCGTGTCTTTACAAAGATGCTTGACGGGATCAGATGGGATTTGTATACCGAAGGATTTGTGGGTGCAATGTTTTGATCAGGTGATCCTCACCTTACTTGATGAATTCCTGGAAACAGCTAAGCAAAATTCTCCGAAGGAATATCGCAGCGTGGAAGGATCGATGATCATGTCCCTCAAGCTATTGTCAAAAGCATTTCTACAGTCATTGCAAGAAATCTCGCAATCGACGTCCTTCTGCCAACTTTGGTTGAGGGTTCTTAGTTGTATGGACAATTACATGAAGATGAGATTCAGAGGGAAACAGAGTGAGAAGATCAATGAATTAGTTCCCGAGCTTATCAAGAACACGCTGCTTATCATGAAAAGCGGTGGGATTCTTGTGCCGAGTGATCCTGTTGGAGGGGACAGTTTCTGGCAATTAACATGGTTGCATGTGAAAAATATAGCTCCGTCTTTGGAATCAGAAGTTTTTCCTAGTGAAGAATTGGAGAAGTTGAGAGAAAAACATGTCAAAACTGGGTGTAGCCCTCTCCCGGATAAAAATGTTCATGTTCCCCCAAATGAAACCACAGCGTGATGGCATTTTATTTATCCGGTGGAGAACAGGTAAAACAATTGAAACCTGTTGATCTGCAGCCTGAAGTGGGCAAGCTATATATCTGCAATTCATTCTACTTTCCAAATTCGATTGTAAGATTTTATTTTGGACCATGGAAATTTTATTGGAGGTTTTTCGGTTGCTCTTCTGGCTCTGGTTTTTGGAGTAAGCGGAGCCATTGTGGAGGCATCCTTCTTTTCTTTTTTTTTTGTACAATTACACAGTATGATACCGAATTATAGTAGAATTTATTTGTTGGATGCCTATACTGGCATAGAATGTTGCTTCAGTTTTTATGGAGATGAAGTAATTTCAGAGGACGACGCTTTAAACCATCCACAAAGCAGGCCTTGTACAAAGAAATGTAATCATTGCACTCGAGCAATATTCATTTTAAGAGAAGTGTATGACATGATATATTCATTTTTAACTTCATATTTCAACCAATCTACAGTGTGTATTATCTATTTATTATCATTCATTTCTAAATTCTAAGCTATTTCTGGACACAATTATAATTGATTTACTTTCTTATGAGATGGCTACGGAATGCACCATCTCATCGCTAGCTCGTCGTTGCCGAGCCGTCCTAAGAACATGCACTCGACAATCAGATTTCGACACGGGCCGAAGGCTCCACGCCGCCACCATAACCGCCGGCCTACTCGCTGTCCCAAGCTCGTTCCTTCGTAACGCTATTCTTCAGATGTATTCTGCATGTTATGACTCATTGTCTGCACGCAAAGTGTTCGATGAAATTCCCATCACATGTAAAGACACTGTTGATTGGACCACGCTTATTGGTTGTTATATTCACTGCGGATTGCCCCATGACGGGGTTAATTTGTTTGTTAGTATGCGAAGGGAAGAAGTATTGATCGATGAAATAACGATAGTTGCGGTATTCAATGCATGTGCGAAGTTGGGTGATTATGTGTTTGGGGTTCAGGGTCAGGTTTGCATGGTCAAAATGGGTTTGGGTATTAGTGTTAAAGCCTGTAATGCAGCTATGGATATGTACGTCAAGTGTGGTCTAATCCGTAATGCGAGACGAGTGTTTGATGAAATGAGTGAAAGAAGTGTTGTCTCGTGGACTGTGCTTTTGGGAGGTTTGGTGAAGTGGGAAGGTTTGGAGAAAGGGAGGGTTTTGTTTGATCAAATGCCAGAGAGAAATGAATACGCATGGACAATAATGATCGCGGGGTATATCGAGAATGGGTTCATTAAGGAAGGTTTTAGGCTTCTAAATGAAATGGTGGTTGTTTTCGGACTTTGCTTGGATTGTGCTGCACTTTGCTCGTTATTATCGGCCTCTGCTCAGTGTGGAGATGTTGTGATGGGTAAATGGCTGCATGTACATGCTCTGAGAAGAATGGAGAATGCTGAAACAGATGTTATCATTTTTACAGCTTTGCTTGATATGTATGCGAAATGTGGTAGGATTAATACTGCTTTCCGGGTTTTTCAGTCTATGCCCTCAAAGAATGTGGTCACGTGGAATGCTATGCTAAGTGGTATGGCAATGCACGGAAAGGGTGCTGATGTCTTGAGTATGTTTGATCAGATGGTAAAGGAGGTTAAACCAGATGACGTAACCTTCACAGCCCTTTTAAGTGCTTGCAGTCATTCTGGATTAGTTGATCAGGGCCGACAAATTTTCTACAACCTTGAATATATGCATGGCATAAGGCCTTCGATGGAACATTATGCTTGTGTGGTGGATCTCCTGGGTCGAGCAGGACACTTAGAAGAAGCAGAGGCCATGATACGGGGTATGCCCATGAGTCCAAATGAGGTCGTGTTAGGCTCTCTCTTGGGGTCTTGTGGTGTGCATAGGAAGCTACAGTTAGGGGAACGTCTTATGCAAGAGCTGGTTCAAATTTATCCTCAGAACACGGAGTACCATGTCTTGCTTTCGAACATGTATGCTCATTCAGGCAAGCTTGAAACGGCTGATTCTATACGAAAGGTTCTTAAAACTCAGGGCATCAGAAAAGTTCCCGGAATTAGTTCTATGCATATTGGTGGCCAAGTCCATCATTTCAGTTCAGGGGACAAGTCACATCCACAGACTGACAAAATATACTCGGAGTTGGATGAGATGATTCGAAAACTAAGATTGGCTGGTTACATACCAAACACGGCATCACAAATCTTCTCCGGTGGTGAGGTCGATACGGATGGGGAGGAGGAGAAAGAACGAGCATTATTTTCTCATAGCGAGAAGTTGGCCGTTAGTTTTGGGCTCATTAGCACGCAAGCTGGAATGCCTCTTTACATTTTCAAGAACCTAAGAATATGTCAAGACTGTCATTCTGCCATGAAGATTGTTTCAAAAATATACGATAGGGAAATTGTTATTAGAGATCGCACTCGTTTTCATTCTTTCAAGCTAGGTTCATGTTCTTGTTCTGATTACTGGTAACTGTTAGAATCTGGATGCCTGTATATGACACGGAGATTCATCTTTGTGGTTACATTCTTGTTCCAATTTTGCACTGTTGTACAAATGCTGTTTTTCTGCTATCACAATAGTTTTTTCCATCCCCCTCTTTTCGTTTAAAGTGACTTATAATCGAGCCACTATAGATGCTTTTTTGAATAATAAAATAAGCACAAATTACTTTTTGACCTTCTTGATGGAGAATCGTATTCGTGGTTACTACTATTTACTGACCTGTTTGTCCCCATGCTGACCATATCTACGAAATGAACAAAGTGCGCAAGCTCATGAAAATCTTACCCTTAACCACTTGCTGCATTGGTGTAATGGAAGGGGAAAGTTTATGCTTTAAAAAATTGTAGCAGAAGACGACTTAAGGGTCATAATCATCTTGGTTAATCGTTTGCTACTAGAATAAAGGACGGAAGAAACGAAGTAAACCAAATTTATTTATTGATAGGTGATTAGGAAATATATAAATAAAAGGTCCAATTGGCCACAGGGTTCGATCCCCTGCATCTCCACATTTTTCCCCGCTTTCTCGTGCTTTCATTAGAAATGATGGTTTTACCTCCAGAAAACCAAAAGAATTTTCAGGAAATGAATAAAAAGAAACTGACAGAAATTTTTCTAATTTTTTTCTCAACTTTCATTATCTAGTCTCGACAAAATTCGAATTAATAATTTTGTTTTATTATTTTTTACTAATACTTAAATGTTGAATAAATTAATAAACCTACAATCACCAATCTAATTATTTAAAATAAGTAATATTTAGAATATTTAGTTTGATATTGAAATTCAATTTATTTCTAGATTTTCGTCTTATGGATTTCATAAGAGTTGAATAAGTGATGAATTATTTATACGAGAGATAGTGAAAAAAAATCATTTTTGTTGACCCAAAAATGTGCCAACAGGTATCGATCCTAGATGATGTCCACGTAGATAAATTCTAGTAGATCTCGAATGGATACTCAATCGGATATTCGAATACTAGCCAAGCATACACGCATGCATACGTGAGATATTCACGATTGAAGGCGGTTTATGAAATAAAAAGATGATTTAATCGAGCATTCATATAGAGAAAAAAATAATGTATATTTGCATATCTATTTCTTCATCCATTATAATATTACAAGAGCTGCTATTTATAGTATTCAAGCCGATGTAATCACCATTGGATCAGATCCACGTGGCTCCATCTACTTGATCAAAGTGTCATATCAGCCTATCTGACATTAATTACATTGACAAATATATTTGACAAGGGGTCAGCCGTCCTACACTTCTAAGCGACATACCTGACATCTACTTAATGCGAACATCACATTAGTTATTCTTAAAGATACACTTATCAAACCTACTCTAAAAAGCCTCGGGTGTGAAGGAGTTTTGCTCATGGGATGAGAGCACTTCGACAGTGGTGCTTGGACTGAAGTAGTGCCTCGGCCAAAAGGAAATTCTTGCTTTTTTTCTTTATCCTGGATTAACTGCCACGTGTGTGTGTGGTGCTTCCACATGGCCCCCATTGAAAGTGTTACATATGATCAGTAACAATAGTCCCTCAAGTTTATGTATGGTCATTTATGCAATACATAGATTTTGCATTACTTTGGAAATTTTTTGGTAGGGCTATGTTTTAATCCCGTAACAAAATTTTCCAAAATAAGCTAAATCCATTAAAAATTAGTGAAAATTCTCAAATTTCCTACTGGTCTGGAACAAGTTTTGTAGGTTATCTAATGAATGTGCTGTAGACCCCTTATTCACCTTCAAAATTGTAAGGCCCAGATACAAATTATTTCGTGGTTTGAAAGATTTCAAATAGAAGTCATTGCAGAAAAATTAAAATAATGAACACAAAGGAATTTTTCAACCGTTAAAGGGTCCGAATATTCAATCTTACGACATACTCACACGTTGGGCATCTGCAATAAGATATAACTCTAGATCCACTAAGAATAACCAAGAAATCGTTACAATATGTACGAAGAAACCATGTGTTTCTTCGATTTCTGTCTTACCTCTTTCAATCAATAATCACACCACTCAATCTCAACTATGACAGTACAAAACTCTCATATTACAGCTCAATATTGAAGAAATCACAAAGATCGATTACAAATTTCATAGAGAGAACAAAAGCCCTAATTTTCACTCAGAAAAAGGGAGAGACAAAGGAAATTTCACGAAGCATCTCGAAAATCAGAAGACAAAAGGGCCAAGACCAAGTTATATATCTGGTCAACTCAAAAGTCACGATCCAAGGGACAGTAATTAGCCACGTGTACGGCTGATACTCATTCCTTCGAAGAGGCAAAGTCGCATTCTTTCAAAAACACGTTTCCTTTAAATCCTTTAACCCGAATTCAGACAGCCCAAATAACAATTGGTCCAATTAGGCTGGCCAAAAATTTTGAGGCAGCCTAATGAAGAATTAACATTATCCACCTTACTGAACAATTTTTTGATGCTTATTAATGGATCTAGTCATCTACATCAATTGCTTCATTTGCTCTAAATCACTGTAAAAAAGAAAATTGGTTTCATTAGTACATGTACCAAATACTTGAAGTTCTAAGTATCACTATCTCAAGTGATATTGAGAATCTTCAAGCAATTTCTTAACTTATTCAAAGGTAATACCTTAGTCCTCAATTTGAAGAATTAAATTCTGTAGGGATTTTTATCAAAGTGATTAAACCATTTTTTGCCATATTTCTCACAAAATGATATTTTATATCTACATGTTTGGTCATATCATGGTACATAGGATTTCTATTTAAATGTATGACACTTTGGTTATCAGTATATATCTTTACAGAGTCATTTATGAACCCAATTTCATTTAATGAGCCTTTCAGCCAAACACTCATATTCACAACATCAAAAGCTGCTATATATTCAGTTTCAGTAGAAAACAAGGCAATTAGTTTTTGTAATTGTATAAAATAAAAATGTAAGCAGGTGTTGATTTTCTTTTATCCAAGTCACCAGCAAAGTCAGAATTAGTGTAACCTTTTAAGTTTATTATCCTTCTTTTACATCTTTTAAACGTTAAACCTAGATCAGAAGAACCCTTTACGTATCTTAACATCCATTTCATGGCTAGCCAGTGTATTTCACCTAGATTGGCCATAAACCTGCTGAGAATACTAATTCCATATGCTAGGTCAGGTCTAGTACAAACCGTAAGATACATTATTGGACCCACAACATTAGTATAAGGATTTTTTTCCATTCTTCTAAATTCATCATATATTTTTTGTGGAAATTTACTTGATAGTTTAAAATGATTTGCAATGGGTAAAGTAACATGTTTATACTCAATTATAGAAAATTTGTCAAGTATTTTCTTCACATAAGAGCCTTGTTTCAACATCAAAATGCAATTATGCCCGTCTCTTTCTATCTCCATACCAAGAATCCTTTTAGCTTGCCCTAAATCTTTTATTTCAAATTAGATTTTAATTTTGACTTAATGATATCAATTTCAACTTGTTCATGGTAGGCAAGTAACATATCATCATCATATAATAACAAATAAATGGATTGATGTCCACCTGAGCCTTTATAGAAGAAACAAGAATCATAATTGCTTTTTACAAAACCTAATTTCTGTACATAGGTATTGAATTTTATGTAGCGTTGCCTAGGGGTTTGTTTTAGCCCATAAAGAGATTTTTTCTGCAGGCAAACCTTTTCAGTTTTAGATTTTACTTCAAACCTCATGGGTTGATTCATTTATATGATTTCATGAAGGTCACCATTTAGAAAACCTATTTTAATATCAAGTTGTTCCAACTCCCAATTAAAATGAGCAGTATTTGCCACAGGAGAAAATATTTCATTATAGTCCGCTCCTTCATTTTGAGTAAATCCCTCATCAACTAGTCTGGCCTTGTATATCTTATTTTCTGAATTAGTATCCCCTTGTTTAATTTTGAAAATCCATTTACAATCTACTATCTTATGATTCTTAGGTTTATCAACAATGGTCCATGTTCTGTTATTGATAAGAGATTCCATTTATTCATTTAGGGCTTCTTTCCACAACTCAGAATCAAGACAACTAATAGCTTCATCATAAGTAGTAGGTTCAAAATTTAAGGTGTCAAAGGTAGAAAATAGAGTAACAAATTCTTCATTGTTGAATCTTGTAGAGGGTCTTACATTTGTCCTCTCTCTGTCCCTAGTTAATTGATAATTGACTAAGGTGGGATTAACAGTTTCATTTTCATTTTCAGATTCATATTGCTCCTCATTTATTTCTAGTTGAGGGGACTTCACCTCAATTAGATCATCTTGATTAACATCATTTTCAGTTTGATTTTCTGGGACAGTTTCCCTTATGGGTGCAATTTCAGAGGCTTTATCTTCAGATGACCTCTTACAAGGCATGTCATCCTCATTGAAGATAACATTTCTGCTTACAATTACTTTAAAACCATTTTGGCATTTGATCCACAATCTGTACCTTTTGTTTCCTCCCTATAGCCCAGAAAAACACATTTTAGGGACCTTGGTTTGAGTTTGCATTCACTTTGATGTGAATAGGCAGTGCAGCCAAAAACGTTGAGTTTCTCATAATTAGGGGTATGTCTAGACCACAATTTTTCAAGAACTTGAAAATCAATAGCACTAGATGGACTTCTATTTATGAGATGAGTTGTTTTTAGGGCTTCACCCCTAAAAAACTTAGGAAGATCAGAATCGTACAACATACATCTTACCTTTTCTAATAGGTACCTATTCGTTCTCCCAGCGACTTCATTTTGCTGAGGGGTATGTGTAACAGTTCTGTGTCTTAAAATACCATATTTTTTGCAAAATGTGTCAAATTCATAATTGCAAAACTCAAGTCCATTATCAATTCTTATGGCTTTGATTTTCTTATTGGTTTGATTTTCAATCATAATTTTCCATTGATTAAGGGTTTGAAAAGTATAAGATTTTTGTTTTAACGGAAAGGACCAAATTTTTCTTGAAAAATCATCAACAATAAGTAGATAAAATTTGAATCCACTTAAGGTATTTACAGATGTTGGCCCCCACAGGTCATCATGTAAATATTCCAAAATAGAAGTAGATTTGTGGATACCAGTTTTGAAAGGTAATCTTTTCT